TGATTTTTTGGCCCAGAATGTGGTCTGTCCTGTGTATTTTAAAAGAATACATATTCTGCAGTCTTTGGATGGAGTGTTTCATATATGTCAGGTTGAGTTAGTTAATAGTGGTGTTTAAATGTTCTCTATTTTTGATGATTTTCTTTCTAATTGTTCTGCCAATTATTAAGAGTGAAGTATTAAGACCTCCGGTTATAATTGTTGAATTGCCTATTCTGTCTTTAATCCTGTCTGTTTTTCTTCATATATTTTAGGGCTCTGTTGTTATAGGTGAATGTACATTTACAATTATTATATAGTCACAGTTAATTGACCTTTTTATCATCATAAAATAGCTCTTTTCTAATAATAATAATAATTCCTGCCTTAAAGTTTACTTTCTTCCAATATTAATATAGCCACTCCAGCTCTCTTACCTATGGTTACTTTGAATCTTGAGGATGTCTCTCTCTCTCTCTCTCTCTCTCTCTCTCTCTCTCTTTGCTGCAAAAAGCTTTATTATTTCATTTGGTCCAATGCATGGGAGAGGGCTTTAGGGTGGTTAAGAGAATGGCTAGTAGTTTTGGGAAGAGGCTCAGGTAAAAGCCAGACACCAGGGGAATGCAGAGGGGCCCCTCAAAGGCCTCTGGGCTCCAAAGTCCTTGAGTGTGAGCCTCTCGGAAGAGATACTCGCCCAGCCCAGCCTGGGGCCAACCAGCCTGTGGATGGATGTTAATCAGGTGTAGCCCATCTTCTTGATCAGTTTCACCTCCTCACCCAGGAAGTGGTTCTCCAGGAATCACAGAGCTGCGGGTCTGCGCAGGTAGAACCCAGGGCCTGCAGCTCCAAAAGGGCCCGGTTCAGGTTCCTCTCCAAGGCCAGGGCGGCTTCCATGGTGTCCTGAGTTTTGCCCACTCATCTGGGGAGGCTTCAGCACGTCCTGGAAGAGAATGCGGCCACCACTGCGCTGGTTTTACAACTTTGAGATGCTCAGCGCCCTCTCGACTTTTCTCTGCCAACTCGAAGCAGAAGTGGCCCACGCCCTTGAGAGCCACATCATCCCTGTCGAAATGGAAACCCAGAGAGAGGTAGGTGTGGGAGGCCCGCAGATGCAGGCTGGCCAGGCGGTTGGCCGCAGCCTCCACCTCGGTGGAATAATTCTGACGAATGTGGGAGCGCATGGTTGTTCGGCAATAAGGAGTTAAGGTAGAAAAAACCCCTGGTGTGTTGGCTGGTCCAGGAGGTGGTTCTGAAGGTGGTGACTGGATGAGACCCAGGAGAGTGGCCGGAGGCTGGAAGAAGGGGCGTCCTGGGTCTGTTCCATCCAAACACTGTTGAAGCAAGAGACAGATCCGGGACCGCTGAGGGCACTGCTTGAGGATGTCTCTTATAGTCAGCACACAATTGGATCTTGCTTTTTAAATCCATTCTAACAATTCCTACCTCCTACCGTGAGGTTCGAAAGGTTGGTGACTGCTGGTTAGATCATGTGTATTTATGGTCATTATTGATATGGTTGCATTTACACTTGCCATTTTAATATTTGTTTTCTAATTGTCCTGTCCTTTTTTTTGTTCCTCTGTTGCTCCTTGAAAAGAGAAAATAATTTTTCTTTTGTAAAATAAATATTTTGTGTATCATTATAAATTTCTCTGTTGATTTTTTAAACCATA